GGAAGCTTAACGTCATGAAAAACACAGAAGTGAGAAACAGTGAATTATTGAAATGGGAGGTTCTGTCCCGAGGGAGGGCCTGAGGGCGGATTCTGTCCCCCAGGAAGGGCATATGAGGATCAAAGGAGAACCCAATCCATGCCTTTTGGGAAAACCAAGTGGGGGGGGGCTCTCTGATCCCGGGATGCCATCACCCAGCTGCTTTCCAGGCATCCGCACCCACACCTCTGAGGGTGTCTTGTTGCTTCATTTCAGGTGAAGGAAATGTCCTTGATACGCAACACCATCATGGAGTGTCAAGTGTGCGGTGAGTTCCGAGGGAGAAAAGTGCAGGCATCAAGTGGGGGGATTCGAACTCCGAACTGCCGGCTCCGCAGCCCGATGCCTAAACCGCTGAGCTATCTAGCCAGCTCTGGTAAAAGTTGGCTCTCTCTATTTGAGCCATTAGCTGCCTCCCACAAAGAAAAGGAAATGGGTTGATTTCGGTGTGAGCTTTTGTCGATCGAATCCATGATCGTTCGTTCTCACGTACTGAGATCCAACTTTCCGAATTTTCTTAAAGGGTTCCACGAACATCGCTCCCGCTGCAACCCGAATCCGTGCTTTCTCGGCGTCGACTGCATGGAGACGTACGAGTACCCGGGCTACCGTTGCGGGCCTTGCCCGCCGGGTTTCGAAGGCAACGGCACTCACTGTGCCGACATCAACGAAGTAAGCAGGGTTTGGCCCGGCGGGAGAGAAGGGAGGGAAGAGAGTGGGAGGCGGCGAACCCGGGTTCGAGTTCCTGACTGAGCGCTCGTTCTCGCCCGCAGTGCGCCTACACCGACCCCTGTTTCCCAGGATCCAAATGTCTCAACACGGCGCCCGGGTTTCGGTGCGAACCATGCCCTGCGGGTTACAAGGGGAACATTGTCTCTGGAGTCGGAGCCGACTATGCCAAGGCGAGCAAGCAGGTGAGAAACGGACCAGGTGGCCTCGCTCTTAAAAACCAAGATGATCCACAAGCATCTCTCCATTGCTCTAGAGTAGATCAGCTTTCCTCCACCCCATCACACTTTCCTCCTGCTCTCTGGTCATTGGACTACAAACCCCATCAACCCCGCCCAGCCTCGCATGGAGTTTTCTTCTGTGTGGCTTATCAAATATCTATCTGCCACGTTCTTTTGTACCATTTCTCCAAATTGTTGTTATTCTCCTGTTTCCTTGCGAATATCCGTCTTGCGACCGGAACTGTTGCTTTGCGAGCGAACCCATTCGCCGCATGTTACGAAAACGTATTATTTTATTTATTTGTTTATTTATTATTGGATTTTTACTTGCTTTTCGTCAAAAGAAAGAAAGAAAGAGCAACAAATACTGTTACTCATTAGTTGAGTGTTACTCATACGATATTGGACGGTTTTTAACAATCCGTTCACAAAAATGAAAATAAAGGGGGGGCCAAACTCCACAAAATAGCCTGAGAAAAATAATTTTTTAAAAAGAAATCAGTACAAGTTCACATATTGTAATGCCAATGTCATTGATGTCGTAACACTTAAAATCAGCAGGATTAGCTGCTATTGTGATGGGTAAGAAATCATATTGTTCTTTTTAAAGACATTATTTGCACACAAGAAACCCTATAGATCATCTCTTATGATGATGATTTTCCCCGACCAGGTTTGCACGGATATCGATGAATGCAACGACGGCAACAATGGAGGATGCGATCCCAACGCCATCTGCACGAACACTGTGGTGAGCCTGTCGGCTTTGGGGTGCTTTTCAGCCTGGGAAGGATGGGCATGCGGGTGGAGAGTAGCTCAGAATGACGCACTCAACCCAGGCGGGAGCGTCCGAGCTTCCGACGTGCTGCCGACTTTATTTCCTCTCTTCCGCCGGTCCTGGCATTGATGCCTACTTCAAAGCCCATGAGGCTGGGTGGAGTTCCCTCTTTTCCCCACCAGTGTTGTGTTGTTATTGCACTAGGTGCTTTCATCATCCATGCAGATGGGTGTCGTTCGCGAGCATCTGTCCAATTTAACCCTGCCGGTTTGGACAAGAACATGGCAAAAGCATCTCATCGCTAGCAATGAGATTTTAAAAAATTTCTTGGACTACACATCTCATAATTCCCCATTCCAGGAGTTCTAACTCACTTACACCCACCAATTTTGACTCACCTTGGAGGAAAGGCCTCAAAGGGAAGGCTTTGTGGCTGAGCTCGGCCTAGCTCGGCCTCAACTTCCTGTTCCTGCCCCAGGGGTAGCTGGGAGCTTTCTTTCCGAACAGGAAGCTAGGTAGAACTAGGCCCAGCTAAACATCAGGTTTTAGGCTTAGGCCTTTCTCCCAGGTGAGCCAAACTTGGGGGTTTGTTAATATGTGCATAAATCAGGAAGAACGCTGAGAATGAGGAATTAAGGGATTTGGGGTCCAAGAATCCCATCCTCGCTCATCCCAATGCATGTAGGTTCATAATTCAGATAAAATAATGCCTGTGTTACCACCCAGCTACTGTTGGTTAATGACTGGAGACTGATCTTACAATAACGAGCAGTGGCTTTTAGATTTCAATTCTTCTTTTTTTAAAAAAAAAAACCTGTTGACCACCTCATCTCCCTGCGGCCACTATAAAAGCGAAGGTGTGATAATCTGCCAATCGAAACTACGTTCTGGCAAAGCGGGCTGAAATCCACGAGAAATTCATGTGAAATAGAAACTCTGTCACAGTGGTGCCTCGCTTAATGACGTTAATTTGTTCCAGCAAAATTGCTGTAGAGCGAAAACGTCGTAAAGCGAAATTAAAAAGCCCATTGAAACGCATTGAAAACCCGTTCAATGCGTTCCAATGGGCTGAAAAACTCACAGTCCAGCGAAGATCCTCCATAGGGGCGGCCATTTTCGGTGCCTGTAGAGCGAGGAATCCGTCCAAAAACACAGCGGGGAGCCATTTTGAGCACCCGGTGGCCATTTTGAAAAGCCGATGATCTGCTGTTTTGATCGTTGTAATGCAAAGAATCGGTTCCTGAAGCAGGGAACCGATCTTCGCAAAGCAAAAAAAAACCCCATTTAAAACATTGTCGATCGCAAAAACATCGTCGTGAAGCGGATTCGTCATTATACGGGGTAATCGTTAAGCGGGGCACAACTGTGCTTTTTAAGGTGGGGCGCGACTCACTCCTTTTTGCGATGGTGCACATTCCCCTGGCTATCCAGCTCGAAAGCTCTTTCTCTGTTTATATGTTTCATCTGGCATCTTCCCTTCAAAACCAAGACTGCTAGACAGATTTTTGAAACATCGGTTGTGAAATTTACAGCAAGATAAAACCCAGCGGCACAAAATCGGAACAGTAAAAACTGAGGTTAAAAAGGTTAATACTTTTTAAAAATGGAAATAAAATGAGTTTGGAAAGGAGGTCGATAAAAATTCCAGTATTCCCAGCGGTGGAAAGCTCCGTCAACCTGTCGGTTAGCAAAAATCTACTTGAACCATAGGGATAAAAATTAAAAGATGTTTCCCTTTTTTTGGTGTGGGGGTGTCTTTTCCCAACCCCGCAGGGATCCTATAAATGTGGGCCGTGTAAGTCGGGATTTGTGGGGAACCAGACGGGAAGTTGCGCTCCAGAGAAGACCTGTCAGAGCCCGACCCATAACCCGTGTGATATCAATGGGTACTGCCTGTTTGAACGCAACGGGGACGTTTCCTGTGCGGTAAGTCCTCTCGAGGGGAAGAGCTGGGTGATGGTGCAGGAAGGGGGGAAACTGGGATTATTTTGGAACTGGAGCAATTCCCTTTCTGAGGAATTGGGCGGCATTCCCTGACCAGGGCTCAGGATGTGTTCCAGCAGCATGGAGTGTGAACCAAATACAGTGGTGCTCCGCATGACGATGACCCCGCTGTACGACAAATCTGCAGGATGGTGACTTTTTGCGATCAATGCATTCCAATGGGGATTGTTTTCGCATGACGACAATTTTGCTTAACAATGATTTTCCTAGAACAGATCATTGTCATGCAGGGTACCACTGTAGCTGCTAAGTAGAATTACTTGACTTGGGTATTCCTGAGGTCCTTTCGACTGCTAGTCAAGAGTAAGAAAGCTGGACCAAAGTCTCACCAGAGGCTTGGTCTACCTCTGTGTAAGGCATTTGGGAGGGACCTGTGCTCTTAGGGGGCCCAGTCTGCCTCCCTTAGGTGGACCTCCGGACCTGTATTATGGATCTGGGTATCCCTGTGCATCAGTCAGTGCGTAGAAAGCATTGATTATGCTCAAACCCAGTTTAGGGGTCTTGTCACAGGTCGTTATGGGGTGAGAGCTGGTTTTCGTTAGTTCTTTGACCTTCTTGTGTTCTTCTGAGCCACAAGATGGAACGTCCTGGTTCAGACGCAGTCTACCTCGGAGTCACCGTTGCTACAGAACATGAATGTTTCTGGCTGGTGTGGGTGTTTCTCACCTCTTCCTCTTAGTGCCCTCCTCACCAGCATCTCCTTGAACGTGGACCAAATACGATACTGGATAAGTAATGTAACTCTCCTTATGTTTTGATGGCTTCTTTGATCCCGTCCTCGTCCAGTGCAACGTGGGATGGGCTGGCAATGGGAACGTGTGTGGCCGAGACACGGATATCGATGGCTACCCTGACGAGCCGCTGCCTTGCATCGATAATCATAAGCATTGTGCGCAGGTATGTCGCCCACAGAGGGAGAAATTGAGTGCGGGGCTGTGAACAGGTGGCAGATGCCCCTTTTCAAAATGTGAACAGGCACTTTTTAAATATACAACAGGATCCTCCTGTATCCACAGAATCGGTGTCTGGGTTTTACTTCTCTGCTGCCTGAAAATTTTAAAAACGTTAAAAACAAAAAAATTGTAAATATGTGTTTTCACTATGTGTTACTAGGACTGGACACTAGAGGGAGCTAGAGACCATGGTTTGTAATTCTTGTTGAAGTTATGGTAATACATGGTGAAAATATGTACAGTGGTGCCTCGCAACACGATGTTAATTCGTTCCGCGAAAATCGCTGTCTTGTGAAATGCGGTTCCCCATGGGAATGCACTGAAATCCATTTAATGCATTCCAGTGGGGGGAAAAATCGTCATAGAGAAACCGTTTTGCGAAGCACAGACCCAGCTGTCAAAATCTCTGTCTTGCAAAAAACCATCCCTAAAAAAAAAGTTTTGCAAAGCGTGGACCCAGCTGTCAAAATCGTTGTCTTGCAAAAAACGGTCCCGGAAAAAAAAAAATTGCGAAGCACGGACTGAAACATCGTCTAGCGAACATTGCCCATAGGGAAAACAGTTTTGCAAAGTGAAGAGCAACAACACAATGATGTGGTCATTTATTGTTTTTTTTTTCATGCAGGACAACTGCCGGTTGACTCCAAACTCGGGTCAGGAAGATGCCGACAACGATGGCATCGGGGACCAATGCGATGATGACGCGGACGGCGACGGGATCAAGAACGTGGAGGTACATCAAAGCAGAGTGGCCTCTTGGACGTGGGTGGGCTGGGTGGTAGCTAAGCTAGGGGGTGATCTTTAGGATGGAAAACCCCAGATGGTTTTGTGCCCCGAAAAGAGTCACTAGGTGACCCTAGGAAATTAGCAATTCCTCTAAGATCCTATCTGCACAGGACTTACCCATTCAAAGTCGTGGCTCCTTTAGGGAGTCCGTCCGTCTCATGTTTCGTCCTCCTCCTTTCCTACTGCTGTCGACCACCTCCCCACCCGCACAGGACAACTGCCGCTTGTTTCCCAACAAAGACCAGCAGAACTCGGACACCGATTCTTTCGGGGACGCCTGCGACAACTGCCCCAACGTCCCGAACAATGATCAGAAGGACACTGACGCCAACGGAGAAGGAGACGCCTGTGACAACGACATTGATGGGGATGGTGAGGAAAAGGGAAGAGCGGGAGGAAAGAAAGAAGAGTAACCACATGTGAGAGCATGAGGGGGAAAATAGGCTCGGTGGTCCTTGAAGGAGTAGGCTCCGTCTTGAAGCCCTCGGGGTGGGGGAGTCTTCTAGCCACGTCGAGGGAGAAAGGGCTGATGGGGAAATCTGTATGCTAATCGCCGTTGAGCCTCAGCGGGGGATTGGCTGGGCTGCCCTGAGGTCACGGAGGGATGCAAAAGAGCAGGCAGAAGGCGTAGAAAGAAGGTAGGGCTAGGAAAGGCGATGAAGAAGGGAGGCAGGAAGATAGGGCCAGGAAAGGAAGAGGGGCTGGCTGGGAGGTGGCGAGTCACGCCCTTCATGGCCCCCCCCGTTTGCTCCCCAGGCATACCCAACGGGCTTGACAACTGCCCCAAGGTGCCCAACCCGCTGCAGACGGATCGTGACGAAGACGGGGTGGGTGACGCCTGCGACAGTTGTCCCGAAATGAGCAATCCGACTCAGGTAGGAGCGCCTGGGAGGAAGGCTGGATCAGTCCCTCCCTGGAATCTTCTGGGAGGCAAAACATTTAAAAAAAGGAGCAGGCTTCCTATTCTGCGATATTTGGAGGAGTCGCTTCACGGTGGACTGCGTCGCTACAAAGTAGTATTAGGTTTCTCTTGTGTCTTCATGCCTCTGGGCATGAAAAAGGATAGTCCCACAGCTAGAAATGTAGGGTGAAAGGAAGAAACGGTCCAGGCCTACCTACCTACCTACCTACCTACCTGATGGGCTAGTTTTCTGCATGCAGGGATTTTTTGTTCTGGTTTTGCAGGAGTGACCATTTCTATGGGCTAGTTTTCTACATGCAGGGATTTTCTTGTTCTGGTTTCACAGGAGTAACCATTTCTTTTATTTTTGCATGATGTACGTACCGTATTTTTCCGTGTATAAGACTATAGGGCTAGTTTTCTGCATGCAGGGATTTTTTGTTCTGGTTTTGCAGGAGTGACCATTTCTTTTATTTTTGCACGATGTACGTACCATATTTTTCCATGTATAAGACTATACTTTTGTCAAAAATTTTAAGTCTTAAAATTGAGGATCATCTTATACACGGAAGTAAGCTGAGGAGAGAACAAAAACAAGTGGAGGGGAAAGCAGGGATCAGAGCGATCCTGCAAGGCTTTGATCCCTACGTTCCCCTCCACTTGCTAATCCTTGGGATTAATCCATGGGACTTAACAAAAGGAGGGGGAAAGAATCAAAGCAATCCCAAGGCTGTATAAGGGGGAAAGGGATCAAAATGATTGTGCGTTGCAGCATTGCTTTGTTCCCTTTCCCCTCTTTTTGCTAAGCCCCACGGGGCTTAGCACGAAGGGAGAAAGCAGGGATCAAAGCGATCCTGCAGCGCTTTGATCCCTTTCCCCCTACACTTGCTACGCCCCACTTAGATTTCTTAATTTGGGGTTAGAAAAGTGGGGGGGGGCATCTTATATATGGGGGCATCTTATACAAAACAGGTCCGGATATAACCTTTCTGCCCCACTCTTCTCTCAGAATTGTAAGTCTAGGCTGCTCGGATCTAGGTTAAAGCTTTCTGCCCCACTCTTCTCTCAGAATTATAAGTCTAGGCTGCTCGGATCTAGGTTAAAAACAGGTCCGGATATAACAGTCATATAAATTTATAATATTAATGCAGCTTTTGGATCAAGAGAGAGAGAGACATGGCCATCTGTTTTAGAAACAGCAAAAAAGAGAAGTGTCTCAGGATGCCTTTAAGGCAGTGATTCCCAACTTTGGGTCCCTAGATGTTCTTGAACTACAACTCCCAGAAGCCTTTTCACCACGAGCTGTGCTGGCTAGGAGTTGTAGTCCAGGAACATCTGGGGACTGGGAAGCACTGCTTGAAGGCAAAAAAAAAAATCTATCCTTCTGCAAACTGCATCTGCAGAAATGGCTTTCCATTAAATGGGTCCCTGTAGTTTTATTAATGTATTCATTCAGGTTAGAAAAATCGGGAATTATGTATGGAGTTTATTGTTGTTAAATTACAGCGATCCTAATAGGGCTCTCGAGGAAAATGAGATATTTAAGGGGTGGTTTTACCAGTTCCGCTCCCCCAGTGAGCTTCCGTGGCCGAGCGGGGATTCAAACCTGGGCCTCCGAGGCCTAGTCTGTCACTCTGTGTGCTACACCACACTGGGTATTTTGCACGGAGTACATCTCCAATAATCCCCATCCCAGTGGGTACGCATTATGGGAGTTGTAGTCCAAAAACATCCAACGTTTCCCATTCGGGATGCGTCTTGTTTTGGGAGACTGTTTTTGCTCACCTGAGGCCCCGGTGTCTTCCAGACAGATGCGGACAGTGACCTGGTGGGTGACGTTTGTGACACCAATGAGGACAGGTACGTCAAATAAACGCAACGGAGGGTGCAAGTCACACATGCCAAAAGAACCCCAGTTGCATTGATTTGGCCATTATTTAAGTTGTTTTACAAAAATTCCGTTCACACAACGCACGAGTAGCCACGATTCATTTGGCCAGCCAATCGGGTTTCTCCCCCCATCTCACTGGCACGGCGTTCTAAAAATGATCCAATTCCGTGGCGCTTCAGTCCTTTACCGTTCCAGCGCATGTGAACGTCGCGGAGAACTTTGCGAATGGGTGGGGTTTTGGAGCTCCATGGCCACTGCGTGTCCACTATGTTTGTACCCTTTAAAAAACACTTTTATTAAAAGTTTTATTACTGTATCAATTAATGTTTAAAAGGCCAGGGAAAATGGTCCATACATGGACTTTTTAAAAAAAAAATGCTTAGCGATAAACCACTAACTTCTCTTTTTATTTTTTTTCCTCCACAACAGTTTAGTGATGTATCACTTTGCCCATCTTGTCCCCATTTTTGTGGGGCTTATAGTTCGTTTTCCCCCTCTAGCTTTCCAACAACAGTTCAAGTCTTTTTTTAATGCTGCCCTACTTTTATCTCGTGACATGTTCCATCAAGGGGTACATTGACTAAGAGTTGGAAGCGACAAGGAAATAGCGATATATCACTTGACTTTTTTTAATGATTTTTTTTTTTTTGCAGTGTTTGGAAAAGACAGAACAGGCCGGTTCTCTGTTGCTCCAGAGAGGTCCGGATTGACTCGTACGCCCTTCAGGGTTTCAAGATTTATCTTCTTTGGTTTTGACAGTGACGGCGATGGCCACCAGGACAGTAAAGACAACTGCGCGGAGGTCCCCAACAGTTCTCAGCTGGATTCGGACAATGACGGGCTGGGAGACGAATGTGACAATGATGATGACAATGATGGGATACCCGATTACGTGCCGCCTGGCCCGGACAACTGCCGCCTGGTTGCCAATCCCAACCAGAAGGACTCAGACGGTGAGCGCGTTTGGAGAGGTGCAGATTTCAGCGCAGCCCGAAAAGATAAACGGACACAATATGCGCCTTGAGCTATGCACGGCGGAGGGTTGGAAGGGTGCGATTCCTTTTCTTGGACTACGCTTCCCAGAATCCACAGCTTGCTTGGGCTCCCAATGCAGCCACGTTCTTTGGAGGCAAAACCAGGAGGAGAGATCGGTGGTTTGGCTTCAGTTCCCATCCTCCGCTGGTCAGGGGAAGCTGGGAAGTGGAGTCCACCAGCGTCGGGAGGGCCAGAAGTCAGGAACTGATTTTATATATGATGATTTTTGGAGCCAGAGGTTGGGAGTTCGATTCCTCCATAGTGGCTGCTTGGCAAGGGCTGGACTCAATGATCTCATAGGGTCCCTTCCAGCTCTGCTGTTCTAGGTTTATTATTATTACTTTAATATCTTTTAGCAAAAAGACGTTTGCAGTGGTACAGGGGCAGACGAATCTCGCCTGTAATAAAAACGGCAAAATCCATGCCATGGTTAAAACAAACAATTGGGTCCTAATTCGAAGCAAGCCTGAACTGTCCCGGGAAACAAAAATGTTGAAACTGAAGCTGTCCTGCTTTGGGCCCAGCATGAGAAAGCGACATTGTCTGGAAAAGACCATCAGGATGGGAAAGGTGGGAGGCAGCAGGAAAAGAGGAAGGCGAAATACGAGATGGACCGATTCCCTCCAGGAAGCAACGACTTTTGAATTTGCCAGAGCTGAGCAGGGCGGTTGAAGAGAGGGCATTTTGGAGAGGGCTCCTTCATAGGGTCGTGCCAGAAGCAACAACAAAGCTAATATGGGGCTTTCCCCATGAAAAGAACTGTGCAATCTTCCAGCGCCCACAGGTCCCTTCTTCCAGCCTAAAAGTTCCAAATCGTAAGCCAGAACAGGAGGGCCGTGGTGGAAAGACTTACAATATTTACCTTTCAATGATTGTGTTGATCCTAACGTGCAGGCAACGGCGTGGGGGACGCGTGCGAGGAAGATTTCGACAACGACACAGTGGCCGATCAGCTAGACGTGTGTCCGGAAAGCTCCGAGGTGACGTTGACCGACTTCCGGGCATACCAGACGGTCATCTTGGACCCAGAAGGCGACGCCCAGATTGATCCCAACTGGGTGGTCCTGAATCAGGTGCGTTTTAGAAGTGCCCAAATGGGGTCCCTGGAGTCGGCACGGCAACGCGGCTGCCTTTAAGCAGCCCCGAGGTGTAGCGGGTGCAAATCTTTGGCGTTCGGGCCAGGTTTGGCACTGTGGCCGCTGGTTGCCGATCCCTAGGAATGTAGGATTTACACAGGCAGCCCAAACCTGCCCTCTGACCCCAATATCTCGGATGGAGCCTAGAATTTCATTCCCATTTCTGAACTTTTTCGCCCGATTTCCCATTTCTGAACTCTTTCGCCCGATTCCCTCTTTTCAGGGCATGGAAATTGTCCAGACGATGAACAGCGACCCCGGCTTGGCCGTAGGTAAGAGCCGTCGAGGGTCCGGTAGACCCTCTTCTCTATAAGACTACATTTCCCAGAATTCTGCGGTGGGCATCGAAACCCCTAAAGACCGCTCTGTCTGAAATCACGGCATGCTGTGGGGCTTGGTGTTCTTGTCGGTTGGGTTGACCCCTTCCCCTCTTCACGCCGACTCTGTGGGGCAGGATACACAGCCTTCAACGGGGTGGACTTCGAGGGCACTTTCCACGTCAACACCGTCACCGACGACGACTACGCCGGGTTCATCTTCGCCTACCAGGACAGCGCCAGCTTCTACGTGGTCATGTGGAAACAGACGGAGCAGGTCTACTGGCAGGCCACCCCGTTCCGCGCCGTGGCCGAACCCGGCTTGCAGCTCAAGGTGAGCCGCTGCCCGGCGGGAGAGTGTTGGCTCGCTCTGGAAGGGAATCCCCAAAGGCCATCTAGTCTGACCCCGCCACTCTTGCTCTTGCGTCATTACGAATCGCTGGGTTTTGTGGCTCTGCTTTTAAAAAGGCTCAAACGAAGAGAGGAGCCACCTCCCATTTTGTAAGCATTAGGGTTCCCTTTCCCACACGTTAGCCTTGAGAGCAAAACGGAGCCTCTCTGTGCAGAAGCAGTCTACCTCAAAACAACCTCTGTCTCTCGTGTAAAGGCCCACTTCTCTCTCCCTCTCCCTCTCTCTCAAGAGCTTGCCTTTTGCGAGCCCGAGAGCTAAACGGAGCCTCCTCTGCAGTTGCAGTCTACCTCGAACTTCGGCTGAATGGCCCCAAAGAACACAACTGGCCTCTTTCGCACGGAAAAATTTGCCAACCACGCAGTTTCCCTTCTACCTGAGGAAATGCGTTATCAGGATTCTGGCCGTGACGATGTTTTTTGTCATCCTTTCCCTCCCCGTCAGGCGGTGAAATCCAAGACGGGGCCAGGGGAATACCTCCGCAACGCTCTGTGGCACACCGGCCACACTTCCGGCCACGTGCGGCTTCTGTGGAAAGATCCACGCAACGTGGGGTGGAAGGACAAGACCTCGTACCGCTGGCGCCTCATCCACCGACCCCAGGTGGGCTACATCCGGTGAGGAGCGGGGTCGGGACGGGAGACGGGAGCCCCCCTCGTCGTACTTGACGGACGTGGGAGACCCATTTTCTTCGCACTCGTGTCCGGCTTTTCAAAGCCCTCCACTTCCTGGTGGGGGGGAGAGAGGCACCTCCCTCCCCCACGAACCACAGACGGGGAACTTGGGGGGGTTTCCTCCCTCTGGCCTACCTCACAGGGTTGTTAGGAAGATTCCCACTCCGCTGGACTTGGAACCATAGAGAATTCACCGAGGGCTGTATTGGTTGGGGACTCACTAGGCAACATTACCTTCGCATTGGCTTCTCCAGCCGACCTACCTTACAGGGTGATTGTGAGGATAACAGTATTGGTGGCTACGAGTTGGCACAAGTTCCCACGAGGATATCAGGGATATAAATGTGTTGAGGATGACGATAATTATTAACAAATCAAACTACTTAATAGGGGGACTATCAGGAGAAGAGAAACCTTAAATGACATTTATTTATCTACTTATTCATTCGTTCGTTCATTCGTCCATCCATCCATCCATCCATCAGATGACATTTATTTATCTACTTATTCATTCATTCATTCATCCATCCATTCATTCATTCCACTTTTATACCACCCAGTTAGTGCAAAGCCCTATTCTGGAGGGTTCAAAAACTAAGGACGTAAATGCAAGCGATGCAGCCATCGAAGTAAATTCTAAGCCAACGACGCGCAAATTTTTTGCACATTTGCAAAACAGCTCTGTTGGCGAAATTTTGCAAACACGGCCAAACAACTCCATCAAGCAGAGGTCAAGTCGGTGGGATGGGGGGAAAAAAATCTCGAGATGGAACAGGGAGGGGTGGAGGCTGCTCGGCCCCCTCGCCTCTCCCTTTGCTCTCTGCAGTTGGGGCCGAAACCCGGTGCGTGGCCCGTTTTAAGCGAGCCCTCGCGCTGGCTTGACAGCTCCCTGGGGGCGGCGTCTGGGTCCCGGCGGGCGGGCCTGGGAGTGTGTGTGTGTGTGTGTGAGCGTCCGTCCACTGGGAACCTATTCACTTGTTGTTTACCCCGTGGACCCGGTTCACATGCTAGGCCCCCCGGCCCCATTGTCTGGATCACCATGGTGACCCCCACAGGAGCCTGGAATGCCTCCCCTCCCCTCTTTTTTAGTTGCAAAAATAGGGGATCGGACAATGGGGAAGGCGGCAGGGGGGAGAGGCCTGTGGGGAAGAGCCAACGCAGTGAAAATCTGGTCCAGACGCCCCTCCCCAGCCCGAGATCTTCCAAAGAACTCAACAACATTTCAAGCCAAGGAACAGAAGCATTGAACCGGCATCCATATGGGTGTTGTCCCTGTGACGGTCGGGTGGCACACTGCCCGGAGAAGAAGCCGCACTAAGAAGCCCTCTTTTGCTCCTCGGAGCTGTCACGAGTTCGAGGCCCCCGGAGGGGCGAAACGTTTCCGAGCGCAGCGTTCCGGACGCCGTGCGAAATTCTTGCGGGTCGAGGAAAAAAAGATCCCGCCCGGACTTTGCCGAGAAAAACCTTTTGACAGAGGCAGTTTTAATGAGTTTGTTTTAATTCTGTTGCAGGTCAATAATAATTATACCACGGAATGTCACACAGTTTTATAATCAGCCGCGGATCTTGGAAATAACATCACCAGAGCTCAAAAAACAAAACAAAACACAGCAGTATTAGGAATCGCGTGCCTACCGCGCCGATATTTAACAGATACTTAGGTTTTTCTGTGAAACTTGTGTCTTTGATATAATGCCAGTCAATGATGTTATAATTTTGATTGACAGTGTCTGGTATTTTTGAATAATAATAGTCATAATTATAATACAGTGGTGCCTCGCAAGATGGGCACCCCGTTTAACGACGAAACTGCATTACGACGATCTTTTTGGACATAACCTTATCGGATGTGTCCCCCCCTCCCAGGGTGCTGCTCTATGAAGGACCTCAGCTGGTGGCTGATTCGGGCGTCATCCTAGACACCACGATGCGAGGAGGGCGTCTGGGCGTGTTCTGCTTCTCCCAGGAGAACATCATCTGGTCCAACCTGCAGTATCGTTGCAATGGTGAGCTGATGGAGGAGGATGTTTGGGGGGGGCACGACGCGGGGGCGGTGGGTCAAACCTGCATGCTGCTTAATCCTCATCATGCGGCCGTCAAGTCAATTCTGACTGATGGTGACCCTTTTCCAGGGTTCTCCAGGTAAGAGAATTATTCAGAAGTGCTTTACCCTTCCCTTCCTCTGGGGGGAGCCCTGGGCCTGTGCAGCTGGCCCAAGGCTCCCCAGGCTGGCTCTTCTCTCAGGAGGCACTGGGAGGAGGGGGGAGGTTGGAATTGAATTTTCAACCGCTGGCTCGGTAACCAGAGACCTAAACCACAGAGCTATCCAGCAGTTTCAAAAAATATAATTATTAAAAAAAAAAACATACTGGAAAAGTCCAGATGGGCACTTTTAGTTTCTTTTGAGTGGGGGAGTTTTAAGGGAACCCCTCAAAGCTATTAGGAAAATGATTGCTAAGGCCTTTTTTTGCCAAAATTGGTCCATATTTTTTCTGCTTTCAACATGGGTGGCCCTAAAGTCCACAGAAATGCACCCGAGGAGGTACATGTAGCCCACAAACTGCACTTTCACCATCTGTGGCATAAGGGTTTGAGCTTCTTTTAAAGGAATGGCATTCTAAGTAGTGAAGCCCAAGCCATTTTGCTGCCTGAAGCAAAGCTGGGACGCCCTCGACTGCAAAAATGTGAACTTTCTCACCATCTTGTCAAGGGGCTACAATGCCCCACTGCTGCCTAGAGATGGAGGCTCGCTTTGAGGAAGCCACAGGGTTGTTTGCAAGACCTGAGCAGGGCGGTTGAGGAAAAGGAGATTTTGGAGCTGGCTCATAGGATTGCCGTAAGTTGGAGGTAACTTGACCGAACAATAATTTCTAGGATCTGTGGTGGGTTGAGTAGGGATAGGAAGCTATCATCTCCGGACAGGTACGAGACATCTTTAAACTTGCATCATCAATACACCTTCTAATGTAATGCTGGTCGAACCTTCCAGGACCGGTGTGAAACCTTGAAATTGTGGTTTTCTAAAACAAATCCCATACGGTCTCCCCTTGTCTTTCTCTCGACAGATACCATCCCAGCGGACTTTGAACCATACCGCAGGATTTTATTAGAAGGGCTTTGAAGGGTGTGTGTGTGTGTGTGGTTGCAGGCTTCACACAACCGTCCTAAGCGGAGGCCAAACTCTGGAAAGCCATCTGATGGCCGGTCCCAAGTCACCGGACCTCATTTTTTGCCCCATCAACCCACGCCCGCCTGCGCACGCTCCCGTTTCCGGACACACAACCGAGACGCTGACTTAGACCGAAGAGTCTTCGGCCACGGGAATTTGCAAAGGATGACGGGGCCGCGAGGGCTCCTGCCCATCGAAGGGGGTTGTGACGGCGATTGTCCCACGTCGTGCGGATGCGAATACACCCATAAAAAAAATTTGGTTGTTTTCTAACTTCTCGGTCCTGTCGTTGATGCTGGGGAATGTTGGGTCGGGCTGGGTGATCAGGTGGGCCGCAACTCTTTGGAGGTCGGTACATGCTCAGAGGCTATCTGTCATCCCAACCTACATTCCTATATCTCTTTTCAAGATGGGCTTCCCCCTCCCATAGAATATCCCAGATCTTCACGCTGTTATTTCCCCTAAATTGGCGGGATCTGTAGATTTTTCTGTGAGAAATCCTTTGATGTCCCCATTTACCTCCGAGAAAACAGGAACGCCGAAGATCTCCCGTGGAAATATATGCAGGCAGGCCTGCCTTTAGCAGTGACAAACTGGATAATGCTTTAAAGATAAAAAATAACAGCCCTAAATCTTTCACAAAAGGGCTGTTTTCAGCATGAAGTAAACCCTTATATATGTACTTGGTTATTTGGCATCAAGTCGCTTCCGCTTTAATGTTGGCTGTATATCAACACTACTTTACTAATAGTAAGGATAATGATAATGATTTCCTATTCCTGCTATGTACTGTATTTTTCA